TCATCTGGGGATACGGTGTACGATTGTTCGCCTACTGAAGTTACCGTACGCGCTGACCGCGAACAGCCAAAATTCAAAAGTAATCCATAGTTCCGGTTCCCAGCTGAGCGGTGAGTTTTTTCTTATCCATTTTATTGTGAATTACTTTGTTTGTTTTTGTTGAGTTTGATTTTGTTTTGTTGAGTTTGATTTTGTTGTGAGGAAATTGCTCAGGATTCAATTTCTACGGTTTCATAGGTAGCTTTTGCAATGGATTCTTTTCTAGATTTTGCGGATTAGTGGATTGGGATTTATCTAGACCAGATGAGGAGGGTTGGTGGGCGAAGTGTCTTGAAGTTTTTTTGTGAGGAAGGAGGAAAAAGTTTCAGCAATTTTTTTTAGTTCTTGGCCTAGGAATAGTTCGATAGTGCCTAGTTCTATTTATTGTCATCTACATCGTCCCTTTTGAGCTTCTTTTCACTTGTACCGTGTATCACCGCTCTCTCCACTTCAACATGGGCCATGCGTTTACGACCCCCCCCCTCCATCGCGGGCAAATACGACCCCCCTGTTGTGATGATCACAAAGATGGCGTGCCCTGGTGGAACGACCCCCTCGCCGTCGCAACTTTTCTAGGAAGGGAATCTACTTGAGGGAGTCCCTTACCCCAGAACAGAGGAAACGAAGACGTGAGTCCCGTAATCGCATGACTGGGAACAGCGATGGCACATTGACACCTATCGATAACGATAGGGTAATGCCAAGTAATGCCAAGTTTTGGCTCAAGTCCCAGCCATGTCGTCACCCGCTCCATTGAAAGGGAGGAAACTAAAAACTTTTTTCGCGATCTAGTCACCGGTTACGTTTCTTTTATTCTAATGTGAGATCAGTGCGTAGAAATGCGACCCTTTACTCCTGATATTAAGTGGCCATCATGATATTTTTAGCCTTTTCAGAAGACATGGTTGAAACCAGGCCATACGCTGTCTTCTCTTCTGGGACCTGTTATTGATAACTATGATGTGTTCAGATGCGATCGACCGAAGGAGTACGGAGGAGGGGTTATCCTGTTTGGGCAATGCAGGTTGTCTATATCTCTGATACTTGCCGAATCAGTTGTGGATTCCTTTGAGGTTCCTTGTGCGGATTTAATGTGTAGAGGTTGCGACATTAGGATTATTGGTCTGCACAGAGCCCCTTCTTGCAAAGGGAGAACTCTGAGTTACTTTTCAGAATTCTTAGTGATCTAGTATCATGCGAGAGTTGCGATGAAACGACACACTGGGAGAGGAATGATTTATTAGACCAGAACAACCCTTTTATGCATTCACAAATCATTATCATCCTCTCATCCAATCATCCTCACTCTCTCCATTCTCACATTCCACACCGCTCCCCTACACCTCCCCCAGTGACCATCCGGTCACTCCAGATTCCTGGGGAGCGGCCCTCCACTCTACAACAGTGGACCACGACATTACACCCACTATGTGTTGTCTTGCTTCAGTGAACACTACCAACACAACTCTTTATTAAATCATTATGGCTCTTCGTTGCCGCCGTCCCCTCTTACAGGGGACGGCGACTCGGGCCTCCTAGCCCGGCTTCTACTTCTACTTCGAGTTTTGCTTCGTGGCCGACCGCGAGCTTGTCCTCTTCGGGAACCATCCCTACTCCTGTTCCTGGCTTCTTCTTCTCATTGACCTCGGCCCGGGCTTCTCGATCGGTCACGGCTTCCACTGTTCCATCGGCGGTGCCACTGCACCTCCCGCTGTAGACTTCTTACCGCCGTCCACAGCGCTTTACTGCGCTGCGGACGGCGCCTTCTTCCTCGTGACGGCGGGGCTGGAGCTCCCGGCTGCACGGGCATTGCAGCCATCACGGGAACTCCCCCGCCCAATTCGGCAGCGCCATCTGGAGGCCGGCAGGCTGCTGTACGATGATACGGGGGGGGTTCAACAACGGGGCTTGTCCCGTCCCCCCTGCTGCCGCGGTGCTTGGAAGAGCGAACATAACTGAGGGACCACACTCATCCATCCTTCTTTATAGGCACCGCGGTGATGACTTTTGTTTTTGTTTTTGCCTTCATTCACTACCATCCTTA